ATTGATATCATGGTCTGCTGTATCAATGTATCACCAGGAGTATTTTTTGGTATATTTCACTTTTTTTGTTTTGTTACAGCTACAGTTTTGTTGTTTGTTTAGTGGAAGGAAACTCGTTTAAGCGAAACATTTGACATTTTCACTGTTTTGATGATTAAAATATGAACTTTACACAATAAGTGGTTTAACAAAGACTTTTAGTGTCACAGCCACGATTTAGACTTTATTTTTATTGAACCGTCACAAATCAATTTGAAATATATCATATCAAATCGAAAGTTCACTGTATTGAAATATGTATCATATCAGCAACTTCTTAATGATACCCAGCCCTAACTACAGGTGGTTTTATAGCTATAAAATTCCTAGAAAAACAGGCATTCTGACTGTGAGCGGGGTCGCCTTTCCACAGATCTGACCTGTAACTTGGTCTGGTTTGGTCTCCATGAAGATAGAAAGACTGCGAAACATTCCAGACAAAGCAATAAGCAAGTAAAGACTCTTTTTTGTGCTTGTATGTGATTGAGGTAGTAGTAGTAGTAGCAGCAGTAGCAGCAGCAGTAGTAGTAGTAGTAGTAGCAGTAGTAGTAGTAGTAGTAGCAGTAGTAGTAGTAGTAGCAGTAATAGTGGTAGCAGAAGCAGTAGTAGTAGTAGTAGCAGTAATAGTGGTAGTAGCAGCAGTAGTAGTAGTAGTAGTAGTAGTGGTAGTGGTAGTGGTAGTAGCAGCAGTAGTAGTAGTAGTAGCAGCAGCAGCAGCAGTAGTTGTAGTAGCAGCAGTAGTAGTACTAGTAGTAGTAGTAGTAGTTGTAGTGGTAGTAGTAGTAGCAGTAGTAGTAGTGGTAGCAGTAGTAGTAGTGGTAGCAGTAGCAGTTGTAGTAGCAGCAGTAGTAGTAGTAGTAGTAGTAGTACTAGTAGTAGTAGTAGTAGTAGTAGTAGTAGTAGTAGTGATGGTATCAGTTTTCCCTGTTTTTACTTCCATTGTCCTTTACTTTGGAGTATCTAACAGAAAAATGCTCACATGTTTGGAGTGATTGTATTTTAGAGCAACACAAAACCCACAGTGAATAAATACTAGAGGAATATGTTTAATGTCATACTACGGAACATTCCAGGGAACACAATAACATGTCAATGAAGACCCTCCTCCAGAAAAGTTGCGCAGTGCATCTTTAAATAAAAATAAGAAAGCAAATAGCATGTACGCACAACGTTCTATTTGTCTCTAAAACCAAAATTATTTCAACATATTTCCAGCCTCTACATTCCAGTTTTCTTCCCAGTTTTCCTCGGCGCTTGTACATGATTGTTCCAGGATCCGGTGGTGCGGCGAGAGAGCGGTGTGGAGTCTGGCAGACAGTGGCTCGGTGCCAAGCTGCCGGTGATCCATGTTGGCACAAACACAAGACGAAGGCGTAGCAGGAAGTTCGATGTCATGTAGAACCGTGATTAAGAGAGGAGCGGTGCTTTTCCTCGCGCCCGCCGGGAGACCACCTCACTGTTTCAACACAACTGTACCCGCAAAAATGGAAAATATATCATAAAAGGAATGGAGAGTGCCATAACTCAGAGCCAGGCTACAGTTCCAAGCACAGCACTAAAGTCTGAGGCCAGAGGACGTTGGGCTTTTGTTTTCATTTACGTTCAAGATTATTTAGTGCTTTTCCGTCTCCGAACTGCTTTCATTGGTTAGAATTACTCGTGTTAGCCAATGGGAGCTTGGGACGTCCTCGAGCTTTAGTGTTTGTCATTGTCAAGTGAAGAAACAGTAGAAATGTTCTGACCAATAAGAAAATATATATAGTTATTGCTTGAATAAAAATGCTCTGATGAAGCCATAAATTTGTGAACTGTGGTTTGTGGTGCTAAGAAACTTGTGTTAAACATACTTTTAAATATACACTCGGCAGTTATTTTTATTGAAATGTAATATTTCAAGCAGGGGTATTGCAAAAAATATGTACATTTTCTTATTTTTGTACACCTCTTTTTTATTCATAGTCTCTGTGATTTACCAATCTACATCAACCAGACAGACAGACACAACAAATTAAATAATGAACTCAAATTACAACCAAAGAATAAACCTTACTGACCAAAAAGGAGACACAATATAACAATAATTAAACAAACAAAAAACAAACAAAAAAACAGGATAAACAGGTAGGACCATAGCAAAAGGAGAAATTTTATTTTATTTGGTCGAATACTTTTTATCCAAGCTGCTTCTTTGGTTCTGGTCAGATGCTGGTGGACACTTCTATCTGTCTGCAGAAGCTGAGAAAAAGAGCTAACTACACTGAAACTATTCTGAAACGACCACATGCACATGTTTACAGTTTCTGTTTGTTAGTTAGGCCTGTTGAACTTGCAGTGAATGTGGGATCATCATCAGAATCATTCAGGTCCCTGATGGGAGACTCACACCTCTGGACCTGACCTGGCTATCCCTGTTGTTCTCTTTGTTTGTTTTGTTTTAGGTTTGAAGATGGAATTGTAAATACGAGACAGATGATATCTGAGGCCTCTGTTTCTGTTCAAAGATGGATTGACTTTCTTCACAAAAATAGCTTCTTTAACTCCCCTCTTAAACCAATTCTTTTCTCTGGCTCAGATCTGTACCTCACTGTCCTCAAAGGAGCAACCTGAGGCTTTTAGGTGGAGATGTACGGCAGACTGAGGTCCTTTTAGGTGGAGATGTACGGCAGACTGAGGTCCTTTTAGGTGGAGATGTACGGCAGACTGAGGTCCTTTTAGGGGGAGATGTACGGCAGACTGAGGTCCTTTTAGATGGAGATGTACGGCAGACTGAGGTCCTTTTAGATGGAGATGTACGGCAGACTGAGGTCCTTTTAGATGGAGATGTACGGCAGACTGAGGTCCTTTTAGGTGGAGATGTACGGCAGACTGAGGTCCTTTTAGGGGGATATTTGTCCTGTGTTGTTCTCTCGTTTGTGTTGGTTCATCCTCTTGTGAAGTTTCTCCAGTGTGGTGTTCACTTCAGTCTGCACTACACTGAATGGAGTAGAGCACAGTGGTTTGTTTGTGGCTTGGTGCTGTGTCTCTGGATGAACCAGTTTCTGTCTTTAAATGTTTGTAGGTTTGAAATTAAATTTCTCCTTTTGCCGTGGATTGTACCTGGATGATGAGAGATTTTACACAGGACCATGTATACATATTTTTTGTATTTTTTTCTACCATGTTATAATGTTGTTCTTTTCAGACATGTTTTTGATGAGAGGTTTTATATTCCATCCATGTGTGTATATAATACAAAAACGTGATACAAAACTGTACACTACAACTTCACAAACCTGTTGTGATGTGCAGTAGTTTCATTAGCGCTGAGTGTGTTGGGATAGTGCTCTGAAGGGGGAGTGACTTCACATAAAGAGTGAAACTTTGTTGTGTTGCAGGTATTACCCTATGGAAGTGTAATAGCCCCTCTTTAAGAACAAAACTTTGAATTAAGTTTGAATATTTTGAAGGCTTTTATTTTTTAGTTGATTTTCTTAGTTGAATTATTTATTTATTTATTTATTTGAGATTGTCTTTTTTGTTCTTTACAAGTTTTGACTCTATATAAATAAATGTTTTCAAATATTTCAGTGGACCAAGGTTTTTTCCCGCTCTGCTTGAGTTTTTAAGTGCTCTTCAAAAAATGTTTCATAGCTCCCAAAAATAGTGTTATTATTATTGTCATTATTTATTATTATTATTATTATTATTATTATTAATCCTGTGAAAGTTTTGAACCGTATTTTGACTTTGAGTAAATGTGTCTTGACTCTGTTGCGTTTTGTCTCCCGTCGTCTGAACTCCAGTCAGTTTAAGAGCCCTGGAGAGACTGACCTCAAATGAGTGTGCAGCAGACACAATACTGTTTCCTGTTTAGTTTCATTACATTTCAGCAGTTGGTTTATTTAGTTTATGTTTTCCAAACAATGTATTTGACTGTGAATGGAGAAGGCTTTAGATTACACTGTGACGTAGAGCTGGGAAGAAAAATGGAACATGTAAAAATGCACTCGATCGCTCTTTATTGTTGTTTTGGACTTGTTGAAAAAGTCAGTACTGGCACATTTTCTACACTTGAGTTTTTTAAAGATACACTGTGTAACTTTTCTGCTGGAGGATCTGCCACCTGCTTGTCTCCATGGAGATGCTGTGGCTGTTGTTATACACTGCTGTCTGATTATATCATCACCGGGATCATGTGAAGATCAAGATCGTGAATATGACATTTTTACTTTGTTTTACTCAGATTAAGATTAAGTCATGACAAAAAAACACATAAAAATGTAATAAAAAAAAAAAAAAGTATATAATAAAAAATATTTAAAACCACACACACACTTGTATCACACTACATCAAATCTGGGACAAAACCCAGATCAAACTTGAACTCAGCCAGGACTGAACCAGGACTAGACTGAGACTAAACTGGGACTAAACCAGGACTAAACCAGGACTAACCCAGAATTACACCAGACTAAACTGTGACTAAACCGGGAGTAGACTGGAACTAAAATGAGACTAAAATGAGACTAAAATGGGACTAAACCAGGACTAGAACAGGACTAGAACAGGACTAGAACAGGACTAGAATAGGACTAGAATAGGACTAAACTGGAACTAAACTGGGATTAAACTTGGACTAGACTGGTTCTAGACTGGGACTAAAATGGGACTAAAATGGCGCTAAACCAGGACTAAAAGAAGGACTAAACCAGTACTAATCTGTGAGTAAACCGGGACTAAAACAGGACTAAAATGGGACCAAATGTAGTCTACATTATGAATAAACTGGGATCAGACTTTTGGACCAAACCAGAGGAAGTTTGAGCTCACCTTATTTCATTGTTTACTTCTGTTCTCAGTTGTCTGTGATTAGTCCTGTTCTTTTTTTCAGTCTAAAATGATGAGTAAATGTCCACCTCTCCATCGTGTGTTCCTTTTCTAACTGCTGACCGCGTTTACTGATCAGTGTGTTCCTCCCACAGAAACCCCTGCAGCCGGACATGGGCCATAACTCTCTGGCAAACTTCCAGATTGAGAAGAAGATCGGACGAGGACAGTTCAGTGAAGTGTACAGGGCCAGATATCTGCTGGACAACACCTCTGTGGCCCTCAAGAAAGTACAGGTATGTACACGTACAGCACAGTACAGTACAGTACACATATGTACAGTACAGTACAGTACACATATGTACAGTACAGTACAGTACACATATGTACAGTACAGTACAGTACACATATGTACAGTACAGTACAGTACACATATGTACAGTACAGTACAGTACACATATGTACAGTACAGTACAGTACACATATGTACAGTACAGTACAGTACACATATGTACAGTACAGTATATACACATATGTACAGTACAGTACACATATGTACAGTACAGTACAGTACAGTACAGTACAGTACAGTACACATATGTACAGTACAGTACACATATGTTACAGTACAGTACACATATGTACAGTACAGTACAGGTATCTGCAGCTATTCTTCTTTAAAAGGACCATATGAAAGACTCTGATTTTACATTCCAGAAGTTATGCCATAATTTGATATTTTGAGTTTTAAGATGCTCATTTATCCAATCAGAAAACAGAATGAGCCTCACATGACTCTCTCATTTGACTCTCATTTGCACTATCAGTTTCATTGCTGAAATCCAGTTGGTGTAAACCTAAAAATTGGTGTAAAATTAAAAATTACTACTGCTGTAAAAAATATTGCATTATTAACGAGTTAACGCAAAATAATTTGCGGCATACATTTTTTTTAACACTGTTAATATTTTAATTGCAAACTAGTTTTTTCATAAGCTGTGGCCACTTCTGTAATGTTAGAAAAACAACAGGATCCGGCTGTAAACATGAAGAAAATAATTCGTATGACACTGAGAAGTTCCATCAGGTCCACTGATATTACACATATGAGACAAACAAAATAAACTCTCCTCCAAAACATACAGCGAATCCACAATCGCCTTCAATAACAGAGGTTTTACAGGCTCAGAGCTGCTATTATCTTCATAAACTCCTGGAGGAGAGTGTATCGCAGCAGGACTCAAATCTGTCTCACTATTTAATAGATATTTCTGCTGCTGGACTTATTTTCTCTTCTGAAGTGTTCGCTCTGCTGCACGACATGTAAACAAACAGTGTCGTGTGATGACGTCATCAGTCTTAGTGCAGCAGCGTTGGCACAGACAAACATGGTCACAAACACAAATGCAATAAAAAAAAAACAAATCCACTTTTCTATGTTGATAAAATTATTAAAATGATGATTCAAGGGTCAAAAATGTGCAAATAATTTGCGATTAATCGAGAGTTAACTATGACATTCATGAGAATAATCGAGATTAAATATTTTAAATGACAACACTATACAATACATATAATAAAAATTATACTAACAACACACACACGCGCGCACACGCACACACACACACACTTGCATCACACTTCATCAAACTGGGACAAAACACAGAACTAACCTGGACTCGACCAGGACTAACCCAGAATTACACTGGACGAAATCGGGACTAAACCTAAAATGTCTCTGATCTGAACAGTCTGTCCCTAAACCCCAGCACCTGCACCATCATGAGTCAGTGCTAGTGCAGCGTCTGCAGCTCAGGGAGGGAATTCTGGAGGTTCTGTGCTTCACATGAGACATGAACATAAACTGAGAATGAGACAAGTTGCTATTATAGTTTACCTGATGAAAAACAAAATGGTGCAAGTGTTGGACAAAATATTATAGTATTTTTAAGCCAAATGCAAGTAAATAAAATAAAAGAACACATTTTTATTATTTTTAAAGTGAGTATATTATGCAAGAATCTACTTTTTGGAGCTTTCTACCAAGTTTTAACATTGCTTTCTCATTAAAAACTTTCTTCTTAGGCTCTAAGATTCTTTCCAACACTCCACCCACAAGCCTGCGTCACTCAGAACGTCAAAAAAGACAGTAAAATTTATTAAACTTGTTAATATGTTTTTTTTGTTTGTTTTTTTCCAGTGAATATAACATTAAAAGGTAACATGGTGATCTAAATCTGTTTTGTGTTAGCAGCTAATACCTCACAGAAGTGTAATACTCGTCTTTAAGTTCAAAATAAAGCAGAATATACCCCCATGCACATCCAAAAATAACACAAGTCTAGTCTAAAAATACAGACGGTGTAGTGTAGCTGTTTTAAGTGTGTTTTGTTTCTTTTCAAAAAGGCAAAAACACTGTGTGAATACAAGTGTTCACGCTGGGCACCTCCGCTGAGTCTGAGCCGCCATCTCCTCCTCTCCCACTGCAACCACACAAATCATGTTTAGACTATAGACGCGTTTCCAGACGCTTTCTACATCTCTCCATCTCTCCTTCTCCTAAACATGTCATAACACTCCTCTTTTTCTTCTCCCTCTCTCCCCCTCTCCTCCTCTTTCTCCCCTTTTTGATCTCTCGACAGATATTTGACTTGATGGACGCCAAAGCTCGCCAAGATTGCATCAAAGAAATAGATCTGCTGAAGGTAAGGTACCAGAGGAGCGGTGAAGACGGTACCAAAGCGCTCCTCTGTTCACTTTTACACCATAAAAACCGCAGATCCTCGCCTGTATTCTCTCGATTATGTGCTGTGTGTCTTGAACAGCTCTGAATACGAACACTTCAGTGCTTTTCTGCCTTTTCGTCTCCCACTGAGCGTGAATGTGGCACTGCTAAAGTTACAGAAAATTCCTCCAGGCTTGTTGCATCGTCTGCTGTTGTTATTTATTGATACTTTGCAGCTGATGTCGTCAACATTCCCCGGGGGTGTGATGCTAACTGTAGGCATGCTCTGTCTGAGGCATCGCTAGACTTTAATCTGAGCTTTTTTTTAACACAATCTGACCAGAAAGAGATGATTTATCTGGAACTACAACAGGGGAGATGGTTTGTGCTGTGAAACTAGCCTCTTTCACATGACACAATGACAGTCTCAAGATAGCCAGCGTTGGCCAACAGTTTTTCAGTGAGTCACTCTCCTCTTTTTTAGTTGAAAATCAAACTCCTGAACAGAACCATGAACATTCATAGTCATCACAGGCTTCTGAAAGTGTGTATTTTTAAGTTTTCAAACAATCTTAAAACTTTTTTGACATTGCAATGTGTGCATTGTGTCGACATTGCAAAATGTTAAACATTTCACCATAGAGATACATGTAGAACACACCCAGCTTGATATCACTGGGAAGTAAACAGCAAGGCCAAAAATTCCAGTTAATGCATCTGATATAAAAATGTATTGAACAGATACATATGTACTCTAGTTTATGAAACTGTTGACCTTTTTTCTGTACCATTTTTGGTTCTAAAGTTCCATATGTTTTAAACAGACCATGTATGAAACATGGAACAAAAATTATTTCCCAAATTTCAAAGACCTGCAAATCATGTCAATAAATGGATGTATTTCATCATATCTTGTGTTATTCCATCTTTGAACTGTTGATGAAGGGACAGGATTTTTCAAAAAAAAGTATTTAAAATTATAAAAATTTGCTTGGAAGGACTGACATATTTTATAGAAATAGTTTCCTTTCATTTTGAAGTAATTTTTATTATGTATTTGGAAGAAAAAAGTTGACAAATGATGTAAAATCCTGCACCTTCTACTTGTTTGTACAATTTTCCCTCCGTTACTTTTCCCTCCGTTACCATGACCTTTCTTAATAAAAAATCTCATGAGTCAAAAAGTAAGAGGTTTTTCAACCTAATCTTGTACCATATGGTAGAAAACTATATGAAGCAAATATTCAAACCAGTTTGTTAAGGATATGGAAGTGAGAACCAAGAGTTATCACTGTTTGGATTTATTGCCCAAAAAGTGCTGCATATTTTCATTCCCTCCGTTACCGACATGAGTTTTAAATTTTTTGTCAACAACTTGAAAGAATATCACAGGTTTAACTTGACCCTGTTGGAGTGTAACTCTTTCCTACATTCTGATACTTTACTTATTTCAATAGTCCCTCTAGTTTCTGAATAAGAGACATTTGAATGTCAAAAATCTGCCCTGTTTCCCTCCGTTACCACTTGACCAGACCCACTGCAAAGTATCAGCTGTTTACAGTTGTAGATTGTAATGATAAATGGTCACATTTTTATATAGACCTTCAAGACACTCAAAGCTCTTTACAATGAGGAACCCATTCACACACACAAAAACACAGACACTGAGGGGGCGAGGTGGGTTAAGTGTCTTGCCCAAGGACACAACAACAGTGCATCTGCTGGAGCTGGAATCACACCACCAACCTGTGGGTCAGTGGATCTGTCTTCTCAACCAATGGTGTTTATGTGGAGAACGGGATTCGAACCACCTTCTGATCAGTGGACAAACACTTAAAGGTTGTATAGAGGATTTTCCAAGGAACGAGAAATCCAGCGACTGTTTGTCCTTTTTCAAATGTTGCGCATGCGTGAAACCACCCCCCCTCCCCTACAGCTCCCTACGTAGAAACGCCTCCTCCCGCCTCCTCTTTACGCCAGAAACAGGTTTGTTTACAGCCGGTGAGCTGCACATGACTTGTAAACAACTAACTACAGTGTTGGTTAGTCAAGACGGAGAAGTGAGGAGCGGGGGGAAGAGCGGATCGGGCAGCGGGGACAGGAGCAGGAAAGGGGTGCAGAGAAGGTTGCGCGGAGATTCAGTGGGAATGATAGGATATCGCTTTCGTGTCCTGAAAGACGTTTGTCTAGCTCTTGGAAATAAAGTACGTTTTCATAATAAGCAGAAGTGACCTGTCCAGGAGTAATTTGGCGACCAGTGGTTCAGTCTTTAGACCCTGCGTCTGCTTCAGTCGCGCCATCGCTGGAATGAATCTACAAGAATCACCTTAGTTTGGCTTCGCTGCTTTTCCCCTTGTCTTCTTCTTTCAGCGACCTCAAAAACGGACTTTCTTTTGTGGCTAACTGCTCCTGGATTCTTGTCACCATTGCAACAAACTTTGTGCGAACTGCGAGGAAGATATAGGTAAAAAAAGCCGCTAAGAACTGTTGCGTTGGTGGAGTAAACAGCGTCTGTGCGTCTTGCGTCTGTGGACTGCGTGACAGTCGTACGTAAACCACGTACTGGCAGCGCAGGCAGGTCAGTTACGCTAGAAACGTAGGGAGATTGATTGACAGCCTGTCAGCTCACAGATAACGAGGCAGTGTCGTTATCTATTGGCAAATGTTTAGCCCAACCATGTCCAGAGTTGATGAATTTTTATTCTCTTTTTTTTGGTCATCATAATTACAAGGCTACTGCATCTCTATAATGCTATCATTGACAACTTGAAACCAAAAAAATCCTCCATACAACCTTTAACCAGCTGAGTTTCTGCTGCCTCATAATAATGTCATACTCATTTTTAATATGAAACATTCAGAAATTCACAAATGTTGAACCTGATCATTTCTGTTCATGACTAAACCAAAGAATCCAAGAGCAATGTTACTTCATTACAACGTTAGTCAAGTAAAAGTACAAAGTAGTGGTCCAAGAAACAGATGTTAAGCAGCTTCAAGAAACACAAATGTTCAAATCATTTCATATTGTCACATGAAGCTTTTGTCACTTTAGACTTACGATGGGAAGAGTGACTTTAACGTAAGAGTAAGAGTAATGTTACTTCAATACAAATATTACTCAAGTAGGAGCAAAAGTGTTCTAGAAAAAAAAAGACTACACATTTTTAGTAGAGGGTCTGCCACCTGTTGTCTCCATGGAGATGTTATTGATTTGTCTAGAATGTTCTATAGTACAGATCTGTCGTGAGGGAGACGAGCAGGTTACAGCACTGTGCTACATCACAGGTCAGATCTGTGGAGAGGCGTCCCTGTTCACAGAAGGAATTACTGTGTTTTTGAACAGAAGCTTTTATGACACAATGATCATTTTTTAATGGAAACTTAAACCGGGACTAAACCAAGACTAAACCAGGACTAAACCAGGACTAAACCAGGACTAAACCAGGACTAAACCAGGACTAAACCAGAGACTAAACCAGGACTAAACCAGGACTAAACCAGGACTAAACCAGGACTAAACCAGGACTAAACCAGGACTAAACTAGAGACTAAACCAGGACTAAACCTGAGACTAAACCAGGACCAAACCACGACTAAACCAGGACTAAACCAGAGACTAAACCAGGACTAAACCAGAGACTAAACCAGGACTAAACCTGAGACTAAACCAGGACTAAACCAGACTAAACCAGGACTAAACCAGGACTAAACCAGGACTAAACCAAGACTAAACCAGGACTAAACCAGGACTAAACCAGGACTAAACCAAGACTAAACCAAGACTAAACCAGGACTAAACCAAGACTAAACCAGACTAAACCAGGACTAAACCAGGACTAAACCAGAGACTAAACCAGGACTAAACCAGGACTAAACCAGGACTAAACCAGGACTAAACCAGGACTAAACTAAACCAGGACTAAACCAGGACTAAACCAAGACTAAACCAAGACTAAACCAGGACTAAACCAGGAACTAAAACCAAGACTAAACCAGGGACTAAACCAGGACTAAACCAGGACTAAACCAGGACTAAATCAGAAACTAAACCAGGACTAAACCAGAGACTAAACAGAACTAAACAGACTAAACCAGAGACTAAACTAGACTAAGACTAAATCAGTAAATCAGGGTTAAACCAGCACTAATGCCACGTCATGGAACATTCCAGTGAAAGCATTAACATCTCCACGGAGACAAGCAGGTGCCGGACCCTGCAGTAGAAAAGCCTCACCGTGCACCTTTCCCTCCCTCGTGTGTGTGTGAGATCTTCTCGTGAGTAGACCGCGGTGCTGGCGTCTGAAAGCCGGCGATTGTGTTTACTCGAGCACTTTTGAGTTTTGTTTTGCAGCTTGCATTAGCATACATGTTTAGCCGTATTCTCTTCCCTCAATTATGCGCCGCGCTTTTAGCACGTGGCAGCTCAAATACTAATGAAGGATCTAATGACAGTTTCAATGTTTTTAGCTGTCTGCGAGATGCTAGCGGTGTGTCAGAAAGGTTCCAGCACGAGTCTTTTGCTGTGTGTACTGTACGCACTTCAGGCAGATCCAGCGCATTAGGCAAAAACAAGGAAACAAGACCAATTAGCTAGTGCCAGTCAAACCGCCAGATCCGCTCCCGGGGGTTTGTGAGCCAATCAAACGCGAGCATACTCAGATGTGGGGAGGGCGCCGCGGGGAGGTGTACTGCGCGGCAGAGACGGGGTTCACTGTACGAGATGAAGTGTGTGGCCTCGCGGCGGGGGTCACGCCGGGGGCAAAGGTCAAAGTGGGGTGTGAGGTGACACAGATCAGGTAGGTGTGTTTGTATGGAGGAGAACAGCCTTAATGGCACGATCATGGTTTTTATGGTAAACTAGGACTCAACCAGGACTCAACCAGAGACTAAACCAGGACTAAACCAGGACTAAACCAGGACTAAACCAGGATGAAACCAGGACTGAACTGGGGGCTAAACCGGGGACAAAAGCAGGGA